CATCGTGAAAGATGGCGCTGCGCCTTTGATTACTCCACGAAGACCATTGTAGTAATATCCATATGATCCAACGTATTCCTTAACTGATCCGCCAGTGTACAAAACCAAATTGGCATTGTTGGTTACTATTCCAGCTGCCTTAAACTTATTGAGTTCAGTGCCATTCAACATGTTTCGGATTTGTGTAATCGTAGCAGAGGTTGTTAATTTACCAGTAACAATGGCGTACAATGGTCTTGTTCCGAGGTTGCAGGATTTGTATTGAGTTAAAGCTATGAGATGAAATGAGTTTTCGTTAGTAAGAAGTCATTCTTGCAAAATGTGCAAAACAAGTTTCTTTTCAGATTATAAACTATTATTATTACTTGATACGATATTGTTATTTAACACGATAGTCGTGATTGCTCGATGATATGGTTTTCAGCACAATGTCGCAACAAAATTATAAAGCAGTTAATACTTCGAAGACGATTAACATAACGTCTTTTCCTAAGGACGAATTCAATTTTATTTGAGGTGTTGGTTAATACCACAAAAAATTAGTCTGTTGAGAAAATTTTATTCGGCTTCTACTCCTCATGACGCAGCGCAAATCACTACTGCAGACTTTTGCGTTATAATTATAAAAAAATCACATGCAAAAAATTGAACAGACTGTGGAACGTTTAGTGACTTCGTATGAAATACTTGATATGAATGTCGACAGGTCTATAAATTGTCATTTGTATGTATATTTAACTGATAACGCGCTCAAGTAGAAATTATTGTACGAAAATGAAGACGAAACTTTCGTCATAAAAATCACGCTTTATGCGTTTTTAACACATAACCGAGAAAAATGTCTATGAAATGGAGAGAAAGATGTTTAAAGCAATTAATTCACCATGTATAAGAAAGGGGATCGATATAATGTGTAATAACTACCAACTTCCTGCTTTAATTTTCACCCAGATGCATTATTCAGTCTAATTTTCCTGAGTATACATGAACGTAGAATACGAGTGATCGCAATTATGCATTATAACTGATAAAGGTAGATGAATCAATAACATTTTGCAATTTATGAGATGTTTCTAGATGTAGATCTTCCAGCTAAAAACTCCCGCTGGCGTATTTGTTAACATAATTTTGCGTATGATACGCGTAGGAAAAAGTGAAATTGCTGCTCATTACGATGAATAAAGTTCTGTCAAGTATCACAGCGTTTCATCCTTGTATCATTCTCGTACCATACGCGTATCATTTTCGTATCATACGCGTATCATTCTCGTATCATACGCGTATCATTCTCGTATCATACGCGTATCATTCTCGTATCATACGCGTATCATTCTCGTATCATACGCGTATCATTCTCGTATCATACGCGTATCATTCTCGTATCATACGTGTATCATTCTCATCATACGCGTATCATTCTCATCATACGCGTATCATTCTCGCATCATACGCGTATCATTCTCGTATCATACGCGTATCATTCTCGTATCATACGCGTCATTCTTCGTATCATACGCGTATCATTCTCGTATCATACGTATCATTCTCGTATCATACGCGTATCATTCCGTATCATACGCGTATCATTCTCGTATCATACGCGTATCATTCTCGTATCATACGTCATCATTCTCGTATCATACGTATCATTCTCGTATCATACGCGTATCATTCTCATATCATACGCGTATCATTTCTCGTATCATACGCGTATCATTCTCGTATCATACGCGTATCATTCTCGTATCATACATTATCATTCTCGTATCATACGCATTATCGATTCTCGTATCATACGCGTATCATTCTCGTATCATACGCGTATCGTTCTG